GAGTATCACTTTTTAAAAATGTCATTTGGATAATTTTAACATATTCCAAACTGCACATTCAATTAAAATTGAACTGATGCAATGAAAATGCAGCTGCTCTCTTGCCTAAAATAAAATCTGAAGGGGGAAATATTGAAGCAGAGTTGTTCACATTTAGATGAGGCTTTTGTAAACAGTGTAAAGGCATTAACACTATTCTTGAAGATATGTATATCTTTCATTTCATTCACAGACTAAACAAGTTTCTCCTACCATACTGTATTCCTTATTAACTTTTAAAGGAAAATCTTATAGCTGTTATGCTTTTTACTTTCATTTGAAGATGCAGAAAGTTATCAAGCTGTGCTTTATAGTTTATAGCAAAGCATTTGATTGTGTAGCTCATGAAAAACTATGGATTACTCTTAAAGAATTGGGTGTGCCACAACATTTGATTGTCCTGATGCCACAACATTTGATTGTCCTGATGTGGACCCTGTATTCAGGACAAAAAGCTACTGTTAGGTCAGAATATGGAGGAACTGAATGAATTCCAATTGCCAAAGGAGGCCAGGCAAGACTGAATTTTTATCACCCTATCTTTTTAATGTGAATGCTAAACATATCATGTGTAAAGCAGATTAGACTCAGGGGAAGGAGGCATGAAAGTTGGAGGAAGGAATGTCAACAATGTAAGATATGCAGATGGCACCATATGACAGAGTGCTCTTGGTATCTGGGGTTTGGTTCCAGGACTCCCCATGGATGCCAAAACTTGTGGATGTTCAAGTCCCATTAAATACAATGGCATAGAAAAATACTATCCCTTAAATGAAAGGTTAAAATCAAGGGGCCTAAGCAGACTGGCGGCATGGGGCCGCCCTGGGAAGGTGCGCCGCGGGACCGAGGCATCCCCACGCCTTGATCCTGCGGTGCACCTTCACCACCCCTGAAAGGAGCGCTAAAATAGCGCTCCTTTCACAAGTCAGCGAAAGTGCGCCGCAAAAGCTTGTGGCGCACTTTCGCTGACTTTTCTGCCACAGCATGTCCGAACGTTGCGGCAGGAGGTTGTCCCCGGAGCGCCAGCCGTGCGGAGGGCCGGCGGCTCCAAGGACGACCTTGGGAGGAGGAAGGGGCGCCGAGTGTGCAGCTGCCCCTCTCCTTCCTTGATGCGAGGACAGCTTTTTAAGCCATCTGCCGAGGCCCAAGGTTTGCTTTTTATTGTTATTATTAACTACCCTTGAGTCAATCTTGACTCATGGCTGCCGTGTAACATCTCCAATACTCCCTGTCCTCTGCTATTGTCCTCAGTTCTCACAAATTCATGCCCATAACCTCCATGATGGAGTCCATCCACCCAGCATGTGGTCTTCCTCTCTTTTTCTTTCCCTCTACCTTTCCTAGCATTATGGTCTTTTCTAATAAGCCATGTCTTCTCATGACATGGACAAAGAATGACAGCTTCAGTTTAGTCATCTTGACTTCCAAGGAGCTCTCAGCCTAATCTGTTCTATGACCCATTTATTTGTCTTTTTTGGTATCCTTTTAGAATGCTTTTAGAATGTATATTTTTCAATATTTTCAAGCCCTGGATGATTGACTCTGTGAATAAAAATCTGTGGATACAGACGCCCAATTGTACTAACAGAAATAACAAAACCTTGGAATGATTACTACAGATAGTTAAGAAAGAAAATGCAAATGCAGGTTTACAGGTGAATATTAAGAAAATCAAAATAATGATCGTAGCAGTGAAGGAAGCTTATAGGAAGAAAATCAACTCATTTGAAATGTGGTGCTGGAGAAGAGTTCTTTAATGCACTGCTAAAAAGACAAATAAATAGTCCTAGACCAAATCAAGCCTGAGCTCTTCCTAGAAGCCAAGATGAATTGGGCCACATCATAAGAATACAAAACTGACAAGAAAGGATAATAATGCTTTGTAAGGCAAAAGGCAGTAGGGAAAGAAGATGATCACATTCCAGATGGATAGAACCAGGGAATACAGACAGGCCAAAAGGGCCTGCTGGGGATGGAGTCAGGAAATGATGACCACATGCCAGCTGTCCCAACTCCACCCCAATGCCACTGTCATGCTGTGTGCCCCACCGCACAGTGAGCAGCGTCAGGGTCTTCCCTTGGCCTGCTGTACCAAAAGAGAGTGGAAAAGTCACAGTTGCAGCAAGTGTGGCTTTTTGCCACTCTATGAAGGAGTGGCATTTGCCAGCTCTATTTAGAGCAGCAAAATGCTGGATCAGGGCTGCGGTGTGCGGTTGCCATGTTCCTGATCCAGCAAGAAAAGAGATGATTGGATGTCGCCGCTTAGGGGCTGTCTGTACAGCCCCTCAGTCAAGGAAGCCAAGAGCCTGAATCTGCAAGACCTGAGCAGGGATGTTAATGATAGGGTGACCTGGAGGTCTCTCATTCAGCATAATAATTAAGAAGAAAGAGTAGAACATGCATTATATCTATTTGTTTTAAAAAGAGTGTGTGAGATGTGGAAACAGGAAGAAGCTACCCAAAGTGATATTAAATATAGCTGACTGAATTGGCACTAGTTGCCAGTATAGATGAGCCATTATTATTATTATTATTATTATTATTATTATTATTATTATTATTATTATTATTATCTGTTTATTGATTGTTCCAGTGTTATATATAATGATATGTGTTTTGCTGTTGTTCTGTGCCATCAAGATTTGTTCAGAGGAGGTTTGTCACTGCCCATCTTCACTCTGATTGCAGTATTATTCTCTTTTAATGGATGAGACACTGCCAAAAAATATCTCATCTGATCTTGGGACAGCGTACATATGTCTGGGACTTTATACCCCAAATTTTATACCAGGTAATAGACTATGTCCTCCAGCCTGAAGCCTTTTATACAATAAATGAATATGTCTGGGTCTTCAGGGTCTGCAGTTTTCCTACTATTGCAGAATTATCCTTATCATTTAAAAGTGTCCATTGCATATTCATTATGCCCATTATTTTCTCATCACTATGATGCATCTTACTTGTCATATTTTGGGCCCAAGAATGGTAGTTCAAGCTTCTGCCAACCTAGCAGTTCCAAAGCATGCAAATACAAGTGAAAAAAATATGTACCACTTCAGTGGGAAGGTAAACAGCATTCTGTGCAATCATGCTGGCTGGCCACATGATCACAGAGTAGTCTGTGACAGCTCTGGCTCTTCGGCTTGGTAACAGAGATGAGCACCACCCCCTATGGTCGGACACGACTTGACAACCTTTTCAATGTGGAATACCTTTACCTTTACTTATTATTTCATATTTTAGAAGCCCAGTGTTAAATATTTTTGCTGAGATATAGTTCCAAGTGAATTGCATCAAACTTGATCTCTATTATATATATTTAGGTGTGAATAAGAGGCATTATCAACATGCACGAAGTTTGTGAAATCTTTCTGTTAATCTGTGTTTTAACACCTAATAACACTTTGGATACTCACCCACATTGGAACTGTAGTTATTTCATTGAGAGAGAGAGAGAGAGAGAGAGAGAGAGAGAGAGAGAGAGAGAGAGAGAGAAAGTATAACTAAATAAAGAGCATTTGCCTTATTTAGATTTCTGCTCAATCCAAGCTATCATCTCTGTTGGATATCTGATGCATATTTCATGCCACTAGACTCTCCATTCATTCTTGATTACTTTAATAAAACATTTAAGGTCTAATAAAAACAAGTGATCAACTCCAGAATCTCTTTTCTTGCACTGAGCAAATAGGTTTCCTTTTACTACAGTAGGAGTTGCTCTAGGGATAATTAGTGGGTCAATGGAGCAGCCCCATGTTCAAGCTGCATTGAATGAATCACATTCTGGCATTATAACAAGATATGGGGTAGAGTAAGTTCTACAGCTTGCCTTCCTCTAAATGATGAATGGATTGATTTGAAACTTAGTAGCTTCTGAAAGGTTAATTTGAGGGTGATCTGTGCTGATTTTAAGGGGGAAAATGGTAAGAAAGGCCTTATTTCCAGGAGTTTAAAAGTTAGACAGTTGACCTCCAGTAGTTTCAAAGGTACTTACTTTAAAAACAAAACAAAATTGTAGCTGGATTTGTCAACTGATTTTGTATTTGTACAATTTATTGTATTAAATTATGGAGAAGGTTTAGTATGTACTGTGTCCCAGTACTGCTTGTAATTCTTTTTAATTAATTTTCTTGTTAATTTTTCTCCCCCCCCCCCCCAATGGATTAGACGAGACCTCTTCCATACATGTTTGATGTGTATTGTTTGTTTAGTGAGCCTGGTGCAAGGTATGACAGGAACAAGTGTCTTTATAAAATGGAACTGAGTGTAGCAGTTAACAGGAAGATGAGGGCCAGCTGTGGAGGGCACTCTACCACAGAGAAATTAGATTTCTGAATATATCAGAAATGACCTTCCTCTCAGGAAAAGATACATCTTGGAAAAAAAAAAGGGCAAATATTACACTTGTAAGAATGTCATACAGTATCAGTTCATTGAAACTGCTGAGTTTTCTACGTTTTTATACTTATCTCTAAAGGCTTCTTCACATTCTCTCTCTCAGCTTAAGTTTATGAACTTGGCTCTTTCAGGCACTGAAAACAAATTACATGGATTAAACAAATGGTGTACTCGCTTCTCCATATTTTACTACAACTGCTAATATGATTATTCTCTGCCTGTTCCATGATGTTTTGATGAGTGCACTGAAACTGAAGGGGCTGTTCATAAACAGGGAGGTCAGATCACAATTTTGGACAGTGTGGTGTGAGAAAGAAGAACAATCAAATGCATCCAGAGCTGACTTGGCATAGTAGTTAGAGTATTGGAGTGGGACTTGGAAGATCACGCACAAGTCCTCACTGAGAGGTAATATTTACTGGATGGTTTTGGGACAAGCACTTTCTTGTAGCCTAAGAAAACAGATTGTTCTAAGAATAAAGTGGAGAGGAGATGAAGGAAAACCACATCATGTACCACTGAGGTCATTGGCAGGACATAAATGTAATTAATAAATACTAAGTACCAGTGTGGCTTAGTGGTTTGAGTGTTGGATTATGACTCTGAACACTAAAGTTCAATTCCCCCTTTGGTCATGAAACCTACAAGTCACCTCCTCTTACCCTCAGGGTATGTCAATGATAAACCTCCTCTGAACAAATCTTGCCAAGAAAACCCCATTCGCCTTAGGGTTGCCATAAGCTGAAAATGATTTGAAGGCACACAACAACAAACATTCTGGTAAAAGAAGACTCCCTAAGTTTGTTCCTAGAGTTATGGAGTACAAAGATAAGGAAAGGAACTCCTTTTCTTCACACAAAAACATGTTTTCCATGCTAAAGAATGTTTTCAGAATACCATGTGTATGAAATTTCTGGTTTTGTACAATTCCCCCCCCCCTCTTTTTGCACACAAGAAACCATACTGTGTCTTTTTCTTGTGAAAAATGGGAGGGTTTTGCGAAAACACGAATAATTTACATAGAAAAACACACATTAATTTAAGCTCAGAATAGTTCCTGAAAATTTCACAATATCCAAATACAGTGAAAACACTGCATAGAAATATTTGTTATTTACCAGCAGAGGGAAGAGAACAGTGAAAGCTGTTCATCCTTGCATTCAGGAACAAAATAAACATTTACATTTCTCCTTGGGCAATATTAATATATTCCATCTGATAATGATGAAACAGTTACCCTGATTTCCAATAGGAAACAATGGGCTTTTGCAGACTGCCAGAAATAGTGCAAATTGAGTCCACTTTAACTGCCCTGACTCAGTGCTAGGGAATCATGGAAACTGTAGTTTATGGTGGCACCAGAGCTCTCTGACAGAGAAGGCTCAATGTCTCAGAAAAAAATACAATTCCCATGATTCCCTAGCACTGAGCCAGGGCAGTTAAAGTGGACTCAATATTTTTCTTCTCTTTCATGGTGTTACAAAAGTATTTCTTACCCCTAGTAAACTGCAGCACATAAATATTTGTTTATCTGTTGTGCTAGCTAAATAGTACTCTCAAACAATTATATATCATTATAGTTAGTTATAGTTATAATTATTTCTTATAGTATCCCTCATGCTTCCTCTTAAAGCAGGGGATACACAAATTTCACTATTTTGATATCTTCATAAAAACAGTATTTTCCATTCCAAATACTGCCCCAAAACACACTGATTCCAGAAAGTCATATATATATATATATATATATATATATATATATATATGCACAAAATTGTTGTGTTGCACAAAACCATAACTTTCCCATAAGAAAATCCACACAGCTAACTGGAAATGGGAGGTTTTTCTGCCAAAGAAAATGCCCCTCCCTCATAGACAAATATTGAATAATTAATGCACTTCTATTTCTGTGCAGAATAATTTCATAAAACATTTCTGGATGTATGACAAAAACTGCAAAATCTAGCTGCTGTATTAAGGTTTCTCGTGTCAGAAAATTCATGTTTTTCCCGGAAGTGATTAACAGCAGATATCCTTTCCATCCCCACTTAAATCACTTTTCCATGTTTAGATAAACTTGAAATAATAATAATAATATAACTTATTATTGAAACTCTCTCCAATGCCTTCTCCTAATATCTTTCCCAGCTCTTAATCCCTGCCTCTTTCATGTTCACTCACACCACACCATCCTACCTAGTACCTCTCCTTTCATTCCTTCTGCAATCCATGTACAAATATGAAGTCTCTTAACAGTCATTCAATGCTTGCTAGTCATTCCACACACACACACAAACACACACACACTACTCAGTCTAGAAGTATAAAGTCCCATGTTATGTTACATCATAATTGCATCCCAAGAACACCTGGTGGGGTGGAAGTAAAGTGATGCTTTGCTCTTTTAATTCCTGCACAGTTAACTGGCTCATTTCAGATCTTTCCTTAATACATTTAAGAAACTTTGGATAAGCTTTGGGTGAGCTATGGCTTTTTTGCTTTTGCTCTTCCTTCTAGATAAAGATCAAGTGACATGTTGATTAGTAAGCAAAAACAATTAAAGACACATCCCTCTGGTACAGATGTCTCCTTCCTGTAATGACCTGTTTTATTTATTGTGCTGTCATATGACATACTGAGTTGACTAATGTTTTTCTTTTCAAGGCTATCCCAAGGGGTGCTTTACAGCAGCACTCACATAATGAAGAGTTATTACATGTGCAAGCCAAACTCTAGTTATTCTGTTAGCAAGTTACCACAATGGAATGAAATCCATAAGCAATTCCACAAGCAATTCTGCATGTGGAACTACATTACAGCTTTAGAATTCAAAGTTATAGCCATGTTAGTCTGTAGAATCAGTATGTAGAGAGATTTTGTAGCACCTTTGAGACTAAGGGGCTATGCAGACGGGCAGGAAAAGGTGACCTGAAGTTGCCTTTTCCCTAAACTGCAGCAATTGCATTGCCTGCCCTGAGGTTCCCCTAAATGGGGATGGAGCAACCACACTGGGGGGAGTTAGGGGGGAAGCAGACGAGGGCATCCAGGACGCCCTGGGCCGGCGCGCCGCGGGGCCGCAGCCTCCGCACCTCGGCGCACCGGCGGCGTCCCTGGAAGGAGCGCTAAATCAGCGCTCCTTCCTCAAGACAGCGAAAGTGCGCACTAAAAGCGGCGGGTGCACTTTCGCTGTCTTTTCCGCCGCGGCGCATCCGGTCACCGCGGCGTGAGGTCATCCCCGGAGCACCGGCCGTGCGGAGGGCCGGCGACTCCGAGGGCGACCTCAGGGAGAGGAAGGGGCGCCGCTCGTGCGGCTGCCCCTCCTCTTCCAAGCCTCCAAGACGACTCTATTAGTCGTCTGCCGAGGCCCTTAATGCAGCTTTTCCAAGGCTATATTGAATCTCCAGCAACCACACCGCCAGCCCCAAGGACGCCTCAAAAGGAGACAGAGCAACCACATGGGCTGGCAGTGGCTGCTTTAATTCTTTTTTTTTCTCAAATGCATGCACACATTCGCAGGAACATCTCTCCAAACCTGCACATCTGTGCAGGAAAACATCCCTGCACACCTGCACAGGATCGTCATAGGCGAGTATATAGTCTGTCACTCTCTGTGTACAGAGGTGACTGAAGTATGGCATCCTTGTACACCTGCACAGGACCTGTCATACACCCACATATCATGCAAGATTTTTCTGACCTCCACTTCCCCCCAAGGAGTGGGTGCAGTAGACAGGTGGCATTGTCTTATTGTGCCACCCTCAGGGTGAAGGAACAGGTTTGTCAACTGAAAAGACACTCCATCATCCTCAGCAAAACATGTCCCACACTGATCAGGGGGAAGAGGAGAGGTACGTGCAAGGGAGGTTTGTGTGGACAGACTTGATACATGTAGCTGATGGTCATGCAAGAGACATGGTCAGCAGGACACATGGACAAATGTTACTCCAGGAGCTCCCCCTTAATCATGCCAGGAAGTGATGTGCAGGTCTTATGCACACCTGCACAGAAGAGGTCACAAAAGCCTCTTTCATGCAAATTGCTGTGCATGCTGACAGCAAACATACATGCAACAGAATGCATTTATTGTAATAACAGAGGACAGTTGCTAGGGCACATGCATAGGGTTACAATTAGGGTTAGAGTTAGGGTTCTAATATTCAAGCACACCTGCACCAGTGCATCGTAGGATTGCTGTCAATTTCCACTGGTCATGCGACAGTGCATTTATACTGCTGTTTTCTGATGCATCAGTATCACTGCATACCTACACACATGTGAAGGTGCACATCTTCACCAAAGGAGTGGAAATAAGCGGCTCCTTTTTGGAGCAGCTTATCTCAGCATACGGCAGTTAGAGGGTGCTTTCCTGGAGACTTTTAGGCATGTGTCATCTAAAGGCCACACCTACAAGTCAACCTCAAAGCACCCCTTTTTGCCCATCTGCATAGCCCCTAACTGAAAGAAAGATGTTGGCAGCATGAGCTTTTGTAGACTTCAGTCTACTCCTCAGATGCTTTTGGTGGAGTGGAAAGCCAAGAACAAACCTATATATGCCATTGGTGTGTGACAATGTCGATTCAAATGCAAAATCCTTTGTGTATGGGAATGTAGTGGCAAGTCCAATTTTAACTATGGTCAGAGATTAGAAACAGAAACAGCAGAATTCATCCACAGACTACAGTCTATCAGCAATGGAGTGAACAAACAAAATAGCTTCCTAGCACACTACACACATTTCAACACTATATATAATCCCTTTTATTAAATTTAATTCAGAATTAAACAACATAAATCACATTAAATATAACAAACATATAAGAAACATACATATATAAACAACTATCAACATTCAATACTATACAATCCAATTTTTACAACAAACCCCCAGTTCTTTAAAACAACAACAACAACAACAACAACAACAACAACAACAACAACATACCTTTATTTCAGCCAACAGGTCATTAGGCAACAGAGTATATATAAAACGTGTAAAACATGATAAAATAGCAATATAAAAAAATATTCATAACATACTCATAATGCATATATATACACACACATACACATATACAAAGTCACTCACAGATAGATTAGGTGATACTAGGCCATATGACACTGGGACAAGGTGGATATTTGCATGGGTACTTAAGGAACAATAGACGGGGCTGTTTGTTTTGCATGGGTCATAATCTTACGAGTTTTAGCAGCAGAGAGGAAAAACTTTGCCACTGCTTCTGTTTTACTTTTCTCAAAGTAATTTAGCAAATACTCCACATACCAATTAATTGGTCTACTGGAAACTTAAGCAGAAGGGGTGAAATTAATCTTAGCCTCTCATCATTATAAAAAATACAGAAAAATAGGACATGCTCTAGAGACTCAAAAGAACCTTCACCGCAAGGGCAAACCTGTTTGTTGTAGGGGGTTACCTTATAGCAGCCTTCTAACAAGGCAGAGGGGATAACATTAAATCTCACTTTAGTAAACACAGCTCAGTATTTTGGGATGGTCAAATTTTGTAAATAATGTGCCTCCCTTTCAAGATTGAACTGCAATCCTAAACTGATGGGAGAACAGCTAGTGCGGGCAGAGGATAAAGAATATTGTATATCAATATCTTTTATATGGCAT